TCACAATCAGTCTTCATATTAGGACTACAATTAAATGAAACTACTAGACCCCATCATAAAGGTACACAAAAGTTGAACATGTTTATCTGTCTCTACTAATAAAATACAAATCTTGCAATGTTTATTTGAAGTATAAGCTATCCTAACTGTTCCAGCTTATACCTGTTGAATTTCCATTCGGTTCTTAAAATGGTGGTTATCATGCTGTACTTCTACCACATGTGTGTCCTGCTGCTATAAAGATTGTTATTTATAACTCAGAAAAAATTGTATAATCTGTGTGTATAGGAGGCTGCTGGCTAGAATGTCTCCTCTTTGCTTTTATGTGTTACATTATGGTAGTCAGTATTTCAGTGGACTTAATAAGAAAGAAAATGCTCCTAATAAAAGCAGTGTTTATCTTGATTAATGTTGTTGTATTTTGTTGAAATCTATTTTCAATTATGTAATAAATATTTATAATTTATAAATTAATTTTAACAGAGAGCAAATTCAGCCACCTACAGTGTAAAGGGTGGAGGGCGTGGTGGCCTCATGGTTAGTGTACTTGTCTCCGGATCAAGCGGTCCAGGTTCGAGCCCTGGCCGTGGACATTGCGTTGTGTTCTTGGGCAAGACACTTTATTCTCACAGTGCCTCCCTCTACCCTCTCTATAAATGGGTACCGACAAACTTAATGCTGGCGGTAACCCCACAATGGACTAACATCCCATCCAGGGGGGAGTGGAAATACTCCTAGTCGCTTCATGCTACAGAAACCGGGATAAGCTCCAGCCTGGTGGGCCACTTGGCCTGTATGCAGACTTGACCTTTACCTAAAGGGTGTCAATAAGCAACCACTTGACATCAGAGCCCATGCATCAAGGATGTTTATTTTCCTGTTTTTCACTGCTGTACCAAGAAGAACTCCACAATGATCAATTCCTCTTCTCTCGCAACACGTTTAGGAAAACCGATCCACGATAAAAACTTTCTTATTAGCTTGCGCTCGGTTTTAATTTTGTTGGGAGTGCAGATTCGGTGTACGCGGTCAATCAGTGCTCTAATCCAAAAAATCTTGTGTCGCCAAGGGACAAAACTTTCAAAGTTAGTGTACTGTCCAGTAAAAGTATCTTTCCTGTAGATGCCAAGACCATCACTAGCGATGTTGATGTCCAGGAAGTGCGGAGTGGTATTTTCGAATAATTTAAAGGTAAAGCTTCCTGTATGTCACCTCAGTCTGAAACTGAAGATGATATAGAATTATATCGAAATATTACTAGTACCTCAACAATTCTGTGCATTTGTTGCCTGTATTATAGACACAATGCATTTACTCGGTATCACGTTTATTCTTTCTCTCTTAAAACTATCAGCGGGTAATGGATTTTGGTAATTTATTCCTCTCAAGGAAACTCGAATCCCTTTCGAGGGATTATTCAGCCCTTTCGAGGGATTATTCAGCCCTTTCGAGAGATTATTCAACCTTTTTAAGGGATAATTCAACCCTTTCAAGGGATAATGCAGCCCTTACGAGGGAGTACGCATNCCCTTTCGAGGGATTATTCAGCCCTTTCGAGGGATTATTCAGCCCTTTCGAGAGATTATTCAACCTTTTTAAGGGATAATTCAACCCTTTCAAGGGATAATGCAGCCCTTACGAGGGAGTACGCATCCCTTTCGAAGGATTATGCAGTCAGAGCACAACGCAGTCAATTCACCGCGATTACATGAGAGTAGTGGTATGGGCTAGTCCAGTACAGATTTGACAGGTATTGTGATGCAAATGAAAAGGTATTGTTAT